TTATGAAATATTCGCGTCCTTATGATCGACGTTTCTGTATTTAACCCAGTAACGGTTGTCGTCCCCGAGGAAAACTAGGTTAACCATTTTACAAAAACCTCATGCTTCTTTATCATGGACACGTCAGTTATTTTGACACGTTTCTGAAGTAAGAATATTTTATTCCCTTCAAGCAACGAATGTTGTTCTTTCAGGATGTTTGTAGGAATGGAACGACAAGACAACCTGTGCTTGCTACCCGTGACGAGTTAGCCAACATATTTCTATTGTACATGGGTATAGCATATCACCTTAAGCAATAACTTAATCTAGGAATCACGCCTTATTACAACAATCGGATAACAGAAGTCGTCCTTGATGAATTAAATTACAATAACATGTTTACAATACAGGCAGTTAATTAAAAGCAAACAGTCGGTCAGTCGGACAAAGAATCCTGTCCATCCGATTTTTCGCTTCGTCGACAGCTACACTACAGGTCATTAACCCTATTGACGAATGGCGCCCTAAATTGATATCAGGTCGAGAGATCATTTCCCCTGATCTGCACTCCGTCGCGCAATGAAATGAATTAGGGTTTAACATTTTACTGGGCTACTGAAGAAGGTTTGTCTTACGATATCACCTCGGTGGAAGCGGACGTAAAATACAAATAACACACACACACACACTGAAGAAGGTAATACGCCAGGCAGTGTGCTATGAGGGATTTTTTTTTCTACGACCTACTCTTATTTAGAATTCCAACAGTCGAGGGTTATTTTGCATACACGTCGGGTTTCCGTGCCACCCGAAAAAACTAGACACAGCCCCTGTCAATCCGTCTTCCATCCCTCAGCATTCATAGATTTAGAATTCAGTCTATGTTGATAAAAGAATCGTGCCTGGACTGAAGCAGAGTGTAAATAAAGCCATTATATCTGTGTAATATAGGGTACAGTATTCTTTTATAACGGTATATTGATCCGCGGTATTTAAGGGATTATAACGTCTACTTATTTCATCATACCAAGACTTAAGTCTAATGATATAATCACAACGTACAATACACGATAGGTCTGTGTACCCATTGGCCGTAAAAGAACCCTTGACAGTTGGAATTCGAAATAAGAGTAGGCCGTAGCACCGCTGTCCGGGCAAAATTTCGCTCATAGCACACTGTATGGCGTACGCCCGTCTTCATTAGCCCAGTCGGAGCAGAACAGTGGGACGTTAATAGCCAATTCATTTTTCATTTACAATATACGACATATTGTAAAGACTCCGAATATTTTATACACAGAGTTGACAATAAGCGTGTAAACATAGTTCTCTATTATTGTAAAAAAAAAAAATGCCTTTGTTAAAGTTCAATTGTCAAATTGCTGAAAGGGACAGGACAAATGTAATCTTCCTGTGGCACGCCCCGATCAATTCTAGCTAAATTGTGACTTTTTAATCTATCAACTACGTACAGATATTACCCACACAAAAAAAGGTCATTTCGGTACTAACATAATGGTACAGCTTCATTTTGGTAATTCTATAGCAGTGTGAGGAACCTGGAAAAAAAACAAGGGAGGAAGGAAGGGTCCCGGTCTTCTTAAGCAGTGCTTTTGATGACATCTGAGGTTGGTCGACTTATGCACGAAAGTTGATCGTTATACGCAGCGCTCCCCACCCCCACCCCAACCCCCAATAGTGAAACTTTTAACGAAAAAAATAATGTTTTACGAGAAAGTCGAATTAATTTATCCCTCGGGGGGAGGGGTAAAGGGGGTCTTCTTAAGCAGTGTTGATGGCGACATCTGAAGTTGGTCGACTTTTGCACGAAAGTTGATCGTTGTATGCAAATGTCGAATTAAATTCGAAATTTGGACGTTTTGACGCCCCCACCCCACCCCCGCAACTTAAGAATCAAGGTTCACAGTATCGGGTACCACTATTCATTCATCTAGCATAGTAGACATTTTGTACGCGATTGAAACAACCTGAACCTAGCTCCCTTACTAATATGTAACATAACGCGACAACAAATGGTGGTATTTCTACCATAATCAGACAAGATGAGTTTATGGACATTAAACGATACCCTGTGGAAGTAACAAACGTCACTAACTCATTTATTTAATTGAAATAGGATGGGGTTTAACGTCTTACTCTTCCGGAACAATAAAGACGGGTACAGGCTATGGAGTGTACTATAATGGGACATTATGCATTTATAGCGGCGATACGGCTTATTCTTATTTCATAATTAGCATTTAAAATTCCGCCTACACGTCTTGAAATTCCAACTTTCGAGGGATCATAATAATGGTTACACAGGAAGATTAGGGATGATTGTTAAACAAGAATTCGGAGCCTGAACTTCCCAAATCGCACTTGTACTAGTATCCACTGTTCGTTATAATGGTTGTAAACTATGAGTTGAACTGAAGCCAGGTAATTCACGACTTGATTAACGACCATGCTGATTGGTTTACCAGATATACTGTGTGTTTCCAATTACTTATAGTATCAGGATATTCATTTCTATATTAAGTAACACAGTAGCCGATGAAGAAACCACTTTATAAGAAACTATTTTTCATTAATACCCAATTTCATTATAATATCCCAAATCTTGCATATTGATATCCTAAATATTTTTATCTTGCATTTTGTTAGAACGATATTATTACTAAGGAACTGTGACGTCAACTATATTGTCACGTCATTATTTTAAACTTAATTTGAAAAGTAATTTTTAAAATGAGAGCACCTGTTTTTATAAAATATATATTCTTTTATAACCATTATCTGTACTGTGTTTTTTATATATCTAATTGAAATGTGGCAATGGTATATTATTTGAACATTGTTTATATTACAACTTTCTTCGTAAAATTAAAGATGCATTATGTAAGATCGTTCTCTGCCTATTGCAGGCCCGCTTTGGCTTCAAATGATATATAACTAATTAATTAAGCATTTATTTAACATCACAAGCCTGTTGTCAACTCTCTAAAACATCAGATGGCCGTGGTGTTGAATGGATTAAATCAAAATCGCTATTTAATAATTCAATGTAAAATGGATAATCGAGACTTTGTTTATTATCGTAACAATGGTACTTGACAAACAAGACTATATTTTTGAAACTTCAAAAGCTCGCCCAGATTAAAATAATTTTCAATTAATTTTTCATTATCTATTTTTGAAATATTAAAGCAATAACTATCTAAATCTTATATAATACATCTTTAATAATTACGTCAGAAGGTTGTCGGGCATTGTACACTATACAGTGTAGTTATACATTTGAAATAATCAAATCTTGAAATTGCATTACGTAAACAGTAGAAACTTAAGATGTGAGAGCCACAATAAAGTTTTTGTAAGACTTTGGTTTGTGACATTTTGATTTATTTATCAACTGTGCTCCACAGTAGGGAGTTTGTGGGTTCACATTACTTAAAACAATCAAGATAGGGTTAATGAGACACGAAGGGTCATTACAGACCCCCAGAAAGGATAGGGGTCAATGACTGAGTGTTCGACTTCAGCACAGATTAATTATTACGTGTTAATAATAAGGAACAGCGGTCCAGCACAGAGGGGGTGGGATCTGTTCTTTATTCACAAGATGAAAGCAGAAATGAAGAGCTGCCTTATAAATCGGGCGAGGGAAATATGCTTTACAATACCCCCTTTCCTAAAGAATGAAAGATGATTAGCCCAAGATCGTCCATAATACATTACATTTATGTTGTACCTATGGACATAATAGTCAAAGTGCAATCGTGATTACAACGTATTTAATCGTGATTACGTTGTATTCAATGATCAAAAGTTAACATTGCGTCCACAGATTGGCCATATTGGGATGTTATATTGATATCCACGTCATCAAAATCATTAATATATACTAAGATCTGTCATATCGATAGCCCTGTTAGTAATATTTTGGGGATTTTCGTATGAGACAGAGTCCATTTTTCCTCTTGTTACTTGAATTCGTCCATCAGACTAAGATTTGTGATCACCGGTTAGGATCGACCGGGATTCGTTTATATATTGTGATACTGATCGGCCGTGGTTTATATGATATATTGTGATAAACAAAGATTTAAATTAATAAATTCACCAATAAAAAGTTAATGATATGTTATACTATCACGTTCATCCGTTGACAGTGTGATATATCAATGGGGATTGTGTAATGTAATATATAATAGATCCGTAATTAATAATTCCTCCACGCATATATTATTATCTGAAGTTAATATATTCATATGGTCAGTCATTGAATATAAGTGTATATCCCGATACATATATAACAGGCATTCTACAAGTTTATATAAGAAACATATTATACTGATCATTAGGATATTGTTGAAATACAAAAATCAGTGATCAAGTACATTTTCACTATTAAGTTGTAGCAGATATTCTGCCTTACACCAGCCCTATCCGGGTATGCATTATGTAAAATATTATTAATTGCAATATAACATGTATGAGGTATATGTTTGTGTAAATTTTGATGAATAAATATGAATTTTCCTACTGATAAACTTACTGTAGAATTATTATATATAATTTATTGATTGATGTGTGATTCATAACATTATCATTTCTGATTTACATATTTTAAATTTCATTCTTTAATCCCCGAATCTAGAACAAAAATGAAATGAAATGGGGTTTAGCGTCTTGCGTACACAATGCAGTGTGCTCCGGGGAAGATTTTGCCCGAACAACACACGATGTTGCTGCCAAGGTTGTTTTTTTTTTTTTACATACCTCGCCTTACAGATCCACTGTGACTCCCAGATCTGACAATACAGTATAACATAGCATGTCAGTTGAAAACCTTAATAGTCTACCGTCAGCTGATAACCTTAATGTTTTATTGGTCAGTGGAAACCCTAATAGTCTACCGTCAGTTGAAAACCTTAATGTTTTATATGTCAGTAGAAAACCCTAATGGTCTACCGTCAGCTGATAACCCTAATTGATTATTAAATAAGTCTTACCTGCAATACATGATTCTTTATATTTACATTCACAGCCTGAATCTCCTTCAACACTGACACAAGGACAATCAGCTGGACATCGGTTGTTGATTTCACAAGTTTCTCTCGGCTCTCTCGATACTCCCTGATAATTCAACACACTGGCTCTCTCCGGTATACAAGTACAATTAAAGTACAAAATATTCCTCAAATCGCCTTCAAACTTAGCATCCGTAACGGTTTCATCTAGCGGCGAGCGACGGGCATCCCTCGTATAGCCCAATGGAACACCACCGAAGTACACAAAATTGTTCTTGCGTCTGTCTCCGAACCCCGAATCAGACCCAAAAGCTACTTTACTGCTGGAGGTGTCGTCGACTTGCAGGATCGTCTCAAAATGCTTACGTTTTACCACTACGCTGTGCCAGCGGTTGTCGTTAAGGTTGTTTCCGAGAACGATCTCCACGCTTCCGTCCTGTTCATCCACAACGTTCAGTCGTAGCTGCACAGATCCATCCTTGAGAGCAACTTCAAAAAAGTCGTAGCGACCATTGTTATCAGTGTACAAAAGCAATCCGTTCGATTGCGTCGTTTTAAACTCAAAGCTGATAGAGGCGTTGATACAAGCGTTCCATACTGGGAATTTAGCGTATGTATTAGGCTCCCCACGGAATCTCAGGGAGTCTACAGTTATTAACGATAACAAAATGATAATGGATAGGGACCATAGCTGAATGATAACAGCCATGTCTATCCTCAAAACACTCAAACGTTAAACACGGGTTAATCTTTATCCTAACATTGAATGATCGGGAATAATTCTCCGCTTGTCCTTAATCTCTTAATACGATGAGTTCTTCTCTGTTAATCCCGCGTTGTGTTTCCTTCAAGTTCCTAATGGAGGAGTGACGGCTAAACGGCTTGAATCGAGCACTCCTATAAAGACACACCAACAAACAAAACAGGTAGGCCAGTCGTTAGATATTCATGATGTATATAACATAACACAGCCCCCTTATAACACGGGTAATAGTTTCAAAAACACACTAGATTATTATTCATAACCCGACCCTTTCCACTATTCATAACCCACATCTGGGTCATACAAAATACCGTGTATATACCTCCTCCACACACACACACACATCAACCAATCATAAAGCGCGTCGCTCGTGTAAAAATGAAATTTAACTGATCCAGCTATGCCTGTTAAGTGACTCACGTCTGCTTGCAGTTGTTTATAGGCCGGTTTTATTCTGTCGTCTGCTACGAGCTGCCTGTGGCGGGAAAGAGAGCAAAGAACTTGCTGGACTAGTTTTAGACGATTAAAGCGCTGAAGTAAAAAGAGAAAATGTGGATTTTATTTTCATGTACAAACAAACCAGAATTTCTATGAAGTATTTGAACATAGAAGTGTTTGAGTTTTTCGGCGAGTAGGGCGGAGTAAAAAAAACCGGTTTTAAAATCATGGCAACTCTCATATTACACACACAGTTATGCCCTTTACTCAATATACCAGGGCAGACGTCCAAACCACGTGACCAAGCCTCGTGCATTATATTATCTGGAGTTGCCCCAAATTTGTAAATACTGCATACTCAGCGCAGTGCAAGGGAACACCGCTGTGCTATAAATAGAACAACTTCTGTAATACGATATAAGTAGGGAGGGGGCTAATTGTAAACAACGTTTGTTGATAGTGGTAGAAAGTTTCAAGTGGTGAATTAATTCCTTTCACAGTCGCCCGATTAAACAATACGCTAGATCATATCACAGTCACTCGCCTAATTAAAAAGTTTAGTAAACTATTTAATTGAGCGAGTCACTGTGATAGGATCTAGCGTATTGTAAATTACTTTTCTTATGAATAAATGAGAGAGATGGGGTATGGACATTATCAAGGTGTGGATTATTTGTATCTCATTGAAAAATGCATTAATCTCATCCCATTCAATGGTTCTTTCACGTGCACGCCAATGTGCACACGGGAACTGGATTGTCCCTTGTCCGGCCCTAGGTCCCGAAGCATTGACAAGGAAGAACTACGCCGGAAAATCCCGGGATGGAGCTCGGGACCTACCCACTGAGCCATCAGTTCATTTAATACAGAAATACGAACGTTACAACATGACATCCGTCAGACGTAAAGAATATTTTCCATCCTTGCTACCACTTGGGTTAGCGCCTATGAGGTTGGCAAATAAAGAATTTGTGTAGTCCTTCCGATGACAGCAGTATTAACACCCCTATCGTTGAACACTTGGCTATGGAAAACAATGAAACATAATGTTATCATTTTATTATTATTAACAAGACTTTTTATAGCACCCCCCCCCCCACACACACACACACCCATTCACTCTTGCACACACACGTGTACGGGGAAGGGTATTCTGCAATGGTACGAATATAGAATTATAAATCATTAAATAAACAATAGAATACTAAATAAACACAAGAAACAATATAAATTGCGATATGAAGAAATAAACATTTGTCTTAGAAGAATTAACATAATTACAGGACCTGATGTCATATGGTAACTTATTCCATAAAACAGGTGTCTGAACACTAACATATGTTTGACAGAATGTAAAAATTGTGAAATTATAGTTCTTGGTTATCTTTAATGCTATAAACGATATTTTACGTTCTTGGTTATCTTTAATGCTATAAGCGATATTTTACGTTCTTGACTATCTTTAATGTTATAAACGATATCATACGTTCTTGGTTGTGTTTAATATTATAAACGATATTTTACGTTCTTGACTATCTTTAATGTTATAAACGATGTTTTACGTTCTTGACTATCTTTAATATTATAAACGATATTTTACGTTCTTGACTATCTTTAATGTTATAAACGATATTATATGTTCTTGGCTATCATTAATGCTATAAACGATATTATACGTTCTTCGTTGTATTTACAATTATAGATCTTGGTTATCGTTAATGTTATGAACGATGTTTTACGTTCTTGGCTATCGTTAATATTATAAACGATATTTTACGTTCTTGGCTACCTTTAATATAACAACCATTTAATCTAAGACGACAATCGACTGCCTTAGTAGGAGTTCTTCTAGAAAGAGTTATTTATTATATGGCTCTACTATACACTACTATATATATAGAGAGAGTCGATACAAACAGGTTCTTTGTTTATCTTTACCATTGCTGAATATCACCGTGTCGTCGACCATTGAAATAGTTGATTGAAACCTACCTGAGACTATGACACAACTTAAAGGTACATTCCCCCATATACAGCTATTAATCCTTTAACAATCATATAAATAAATCCACGTTAAAAGGTTCCATTTTGAATCACATCAAGCCATAACTCACACAGCCATATTGAACTGAGAGAAAACTGTCGACACAAGGTGATATTCAGGTGAAAATCGATCGACAAGTATTAATAGAGCTAAACCGATCAACAGTCCATGACGATCAGAACGTGCACCATTCAACCGTCAATAATATAAAGCCAGCATAAACCACAACAATAGAAATACACGATTAGTCTGAATGAAGTCGAATTGTGCAAGATGTCCATTAAACTGTTAATGAAATCGACTGGACAACGGGGGTCATTTAAACATTTTTAAAGAGATAATACCGTTTTACTCTGACTGGCATTTTGAAATTGTTATCCTAGGGGTACAAATACGTGTCAATTAATGGTCCAGTATTTCAGAATTTATACAAATGAATTGAAATGGAGTTTAACGTCCTATAGTATTGTTCTACACCGACTGGGTTAATGAAGACGGGCATCCACCATACAGTGTGGAATGATTGATATTTCGACACGATAGCGGCATTGAGCCACCGTGCCCCCCCCCCTCCCCACAGACGTTAAAACTGCAAGATATCTATACAAGTCAGAGTAATTTGTCTTCATTAATCAGCTTTATAATCAAAGACTAATTGTTGAATATAGATAGGCCATTGTTTTTATCTCTATAACGTCACTATTGTAAACAAACGTTATTTGGTAGTCTACCAATGTAAGACTTGAATCTGCCAATTGCAGGTCTTTCTTTAGGCCTGAAATGTTTTCTAAATTTATTAATTAGACATTAATTAACTTATCCAGCCCATAATCAACTCTTGGTGTCAACGCTAGCCTGCAATATTTACTGGATTAGGATCCGATATGCTGCTTAACTTTCGTTCATGATTTAATCATGAAATGGATAATCGAGACTATGTTTTTTTATTGTACCTACTTAAGTAATGATGATCGAGGCTAGGCCCAAAATTCAATCCCTAAAATCTCGGTTCAGAGTGGATCAATTTGACTGAAATTTTCAGCAAATTGCCTTTTTCTTTTAAAAAGTATTTTATTTCATTACCTTTACATTCACTATTAAAATGAGAACTGCCAGCTCTTTATCTAACCTCGCATAATGTATCTTTATGTTTTCAAATATTGTACTTGAGAAATGTGGAGGTTTGAATGATTCAATAAGTTTATAGATGACCATACTATTGTATGTTTTAACTTTATACAAAGACTTGACGTGCCGTGTTTATAAATTAATAACAATAAATAAATATAGGGCCAACATAAATTGCCTTCACTTTTTACACAATCTCCTGGATCGCTAGCCGACGCCTTAACGGTAATTCATTTCTATCGACATATATCAAGGTCTAAAGAACACTATTTTAGTCGCTGGTTAAGAATACTGGTTATTGGTCAACTGGTGGGTTGAGATTTCACGGACATAATATATCATGTTTACATGTTGATAAGTTAGTCTTTAACTCAGTATCATCCACATTCTTCAACATCGTAAACACGGCTTATTGGTCCATTTAAATCAACATTGATGTTGTGATCTTACCGTGAAAACATTGGCTTCTGGTATCCAATATTTAAGACACAATGAAAAATTTAAACTTGGCACACAAATCGCATGCCACAATACTTGCGAGCGTCATTTGTAATGAGCGACTCGATGAACGAGGCTACACATATCCCACAAGGGACGACTACCGAAGTAGACTGGAATAACCAGACGCCAAAGACTGCCATTCAATTTGCACCCTTCGCTTGTTTCGCCGAAGATATACTAATTAGAAATTACAGTAAAACAGAAAAAATTGAATGTAAATCAGTTCATATTCATATTACATTACTATACGCGTGCCAAAAAATAACGATTTACGTCCTTTAAAGATGTATAATCTCTTATCAGGACCAGATTTAGATGAAGAGAGGCCATAGTTTATTCTACTTATGTGCCCCCCCCCCCTCGATCCCCCATGTCACACCAAGAAGCCCCACCCTCAAACCAAAAGAAGGATCTAATTCACGATGGTAAAGAGAGTGATGCAAGCCCACACTAGGCGTGATAATCTTCAAAATGCAAACAAATCGCACTCTAACCCGATTCCGAATTTTTTGTTTTTCTCATAAATTATTATAGATACGCTAAATTCGTATCCCTTCATTCAAATTTTTATAATGTTCATATCAAAATATAATAATACGCCAATATCGCAAATTCAGCCTCAAAATTGAAATTTTCCGCCATATTCATAATTCCTCTCCTCGGGCGCAAACGCTATTTTCCAAAACATTCTGGGATCTGGGGGGAGAGCACTCTAGACTGTTCTCCGAAGGGAGGCAAGTCCGCGGTGTCATTCGCCGTGGATCAAGTACAGGTACATTGACGCCCACAGAAGCCCCATCGGCGCCCCGAGAAACCCTTGCCACCCCCACCCCCAACATGTTTGGGCTAGGTACGGGGCTGCCGTGTACATAATCCTGATGTTCAGAAGAGCATGGTCTCCTCTACCATTGTTGTCGCTTAATGAAGGTCGACATCACGACATACCAACCAGCCACCATATCGTTGCAATGTTAGACAAATTGTTATAGTCTAAGGAATTGCATTAATTCACCATTATGGGACATTGCTATAGTCTTAACTTTAATAAATCCAAGGGACATAACTACACTTCGGTTTGACGGCTGCAGACCACCATCAATGTTAATTCTAATTCTCTTTGCCTGGCTTCAACTTTGCCACAAACTGTTGTTGGGTTGAATGCTTTGTACCATTA